AAAGCACAGACTACTGGACCTTTAACGAAGGGGCAAGTCATGTTAGAGATTTCAGTAGCCATCATGTATTTCAGGACAATAGAAGCACTGATATAACAGCACTGAATGGTCTAGAAAAGGAGTTAACTTGTATTTAGTAGAAAATGTTCATAAAGTCTGAGTGATGTAGAAAAAAAACTAATTGTACTTCAAAGAAAAGTGTTCATAAAATCAGAATTATTTTGTAATGAATGTCTTTCTAAAAAGGCTGTATACTCTGGCCAAGATTCACTGACTCTGAATGTCCAGTTATGCAAAATGAAGAAGGGAAAGCTGCACGGTTTCATGAGGAAGTGGAACAGGTGTTCTGGAATCAGGCTGACCAGGAGCTGGCACCCAGGAGGTGTGGAGTCCTCAGCATGGGTCACACAGGCAGAACCTGGAGGCGATGAGGTCGCCAAGGAAGGGGATAAAGAACCTGGGAGTTCAGAGACAAGCCGAAGGACTGCCGACATTTCAGAACAGACAGAGGATGGAGAAGAGCTGCAACCAAGATGAGGGAGTAACCAAATGTGAGGGAACCTGGAGAAGGTTCCAAATTCATCATGAGAAACAAGTACAAAAGGAAGGGGTTTGGGGTGGGGGGAACTAGGGAGACTTAGCTGGGAACGGAGGACTGTTGGAACCTGGGTTTTTTTAAGGGGTAAGACAACTTGAAGTATATTTAGCTACTGATGAGAATGAGCTAGTGGAGAGAGACAGAAGACACAGAGGGGGAAAATGGATAACAAATAGAGTGAAGCCACAGAAAATATGGGAGGAAAAGAAGGGGTAGCAAAGGAAAACAAATCTAAGGGAATTCCTGTGTACTGGACTCTCTTCTCTGAGGAGCAGCAGATAAGTCTTCTGCTAAGAGGGAAGCAGTTTCCAGGTGGATGAAGAATTAGAAGTCTGAGGAGAGAGGAGAGTTTAAATTGTCACAAGGAGAAACCAAGAAGAGGGATAGGAGTCTCTGATTTCATAGGATAAACTGCACACACCTTCACCTGTAAGGAATGGCTGGATTTGCTCTGAATGGTCAGCTTTAAAAATGGGGCTCCTGAGGGCCCTCCCTGGTGGCGCAGCGGGTTAAAGCACTGTACTAAGAAGCTAAAGCCACTTCAGCATGAGTTCAATCCCCACCTGCCCTGGAGGTGATCCACATGGCGCGGCAGACCTCTCCTGACATGCCTGCTGCTCCCCTCAGCAGTGCATTTTGTCAGTCAGCCTGTTCTGCTCCCCACTCTGTCTCTGGTGAATCCTCTCACCACCCTTGCACCTCTGGCCTGTACCCCAGTTCTGTATGTATAAATAAATAAATCTTTAAAAAAAAAAAATGGGGCTCCTGGGCCCTCCCTGGTGGCAGAATGGGTTAAAGCACTAGAAACTATTCACAGCTGCTGCAGCCAAAGTTCGATCCCCAGCCAGGGAGCTGACCCACATGGTGTGGCAGACCTCTCCTGACCCGCCCACTGCTCCCCTCAGCAGATTGCCTGCTCACCTCCGCTTCTCTGGTGAATTCTCTCACCCTCTCACCCCCAACACACACACTTCTGGCCTGTACCCCAGTTCTTGTGTGCATAAATAAATAAATCTTTAAAAAAATAAAATAAAAAAAAAAACAGAGCTCCTTCTTTTGTTCTGAAGCCAGAGTCCCACATACCTTAGTCACAGGGGAGAAAGACCTAGATTTGAACGTATAATATCCTGACAGGCATTTCCATCAGCAAATTTCAAGAAATCAATTTTAGGCTCATATTTTAGTAAACAGCTAACATTAAAACATGACATGGAGGGATACAATATGTAATCAAACTGAGAGCCAAAATTAAGACATAATACTGCAGTGAAAAAAAGGCCTAAGTCATTGTCGTTTTCTATTTAGAATTAAATTTCTAGTATTAAATGTCCCTTTTCAATTTGTTTTGGGTCAAGAGGTTATTAACACCATAAAAAAAGAGTTAATAGAAAAGTATGGTCTAGGACAAAGATGTGTTATTATATTTTGCAAGAATGCCTGTCATTGGGAAATCATGCGTTTTTAAAAACAACCATTCCTAGTTCATTAATGGGTAGCCAATTACATCAAAACTTCCTTCCTATTGTATTTTATTTTCCAATTAGTAGTATCCTAGAGACAAGAGCACAAGTTATAATAATATAAAGTATACCTCTATGTCTACAACCATTTAATAAAAGACAGGACACAGAGTTTCTCACTCAACCAAATCACATGAGGTTTATTTACAGATTTTTAAAAAAATGTTATTATTACTCATTTTTTTCTCTTAATTCTAGTCAATTCTTAACTAAAGTCTATGCTTAGAAGCAGACATAGAGATAATGGACATCTATTAATTTAAGACTGCTTATATATATATATATACCATATAATTGCATTTCCTTAGAACTATCAATATATAAACATTATAGAGGGGAGGAAACTGGAATCAAAATAACTGAGAGTAACAGTCACTTATA